GGGGATGCTCCGCTGGCCTCCCCTGCAAAGGCTGAGGAAGAGAAGCCAGCACCCAGGCAAGCTCCCAAGAGACAGCGAGTTCAAGAAGAGTCAGACCAAGACCTAGGGTGCCCCAGTGCAAAAATTCCTCGCCTGAAAGTGAAGCATGGAGGCAAATGGGTGGCTCCCCAGAAGCATGCTGCTTGAGCACCACTGCCGAGAGCTGGAGTGATGGAGATAGAACCTTAGCTGTTCTGCCTGCACCCTCCTCAGTCAGGAACTCACCCGCATGACAACTAGCTATGAACAAGGAGCCTCAGGAGCCTCAGGGAGGAGCAGCTGCTCTGAATAGCCCGCCCATCTCTCTTTCAGTCCTGTAGAATTTCTTCTTGGGCTGCAGAAGAGAACAGCCTGCTCTGAGGAGACAGTGCAGAGAGTGGATACAGAGAAGCCAAACAGGGGCGCTCTCGGTGAGGAGACTTCTGCACTGAATCATGTCAGCAGCCACCAGCACCAGCCTGCTGCGGCTGGACTTCCTAAAACTAGAACAAACAAGCGGTAGTGAACCAAGGAGACTGATGCCTAAGGTTTCAGGAGGCAGAATAAAGAGCCCCAGGGAGACCTGCTAGCTGGAGCAAGGACCCTGTAGACAAAAATCCAGCAAACCCATTCCACCCTGACGCCTGAGGCTCACATGTTCCTTTAATCCCAGCCTATTATGGTACTGGAGTGGGGGGAGGGGAAGGAAGGCCCCCCTGCCCAAAAGAGTGATTTTCTGTAACAGTCTTTGACTTAAAGTCTGAGACCAAGCCTCAAGCCTTCCTTTTCCCCTAAAGTAAATTCCTCTACAGAGAAACTGGTTTTTAATGTACTGTGCCTACAAGGAGCCCTTGGATGTACCTTCTTTCTTACTCCTACTCTTGAGAACACCCATACCAACCAGCTTCTACAGTGAAGGCCTGGAAAAATGGTTTTAAGTGCTTCCTATGATCTGGGTGTAGTGGTACACAGTTTTAATCCCGGCACTTGAGAGGCAGAAGCAGGTGGGTCTCTGTGAGTTCCAGGCCAGCCAGGACTACATAGTTAGACTCTGTCTCAAAACAAATAAAAATCTCTCCCTATAACTGACCATATGGTTCATGCCTGTAGCCCCTGTAGTCAGGGGGCTGATGAAGGAAGATTGCTTAAGCTACAAATTGATGGATAGGATGGGTGAACCAGAGTTTCCATACTTCTAAGTAAACAAGTAAATAAAAGCTTTCCCAACATGCCAGTTCATAGGAGAAACAAGGAACATAGGAACATGCCACACCATAGACTATAATTAGTAAACTGAAAAAAAAAATGGAAAATACCAAGGACAAAACCAATAATATTTTGAACAAGTCATGGTGAAAGGAGAGACCCAACTCCTACCAGTTCTCCTCTTACTTCCGCACATATACACATGCAGAGAAATAAGTAAATAAGTGTAATAAGACTTTCAAAGCAATCTGTAGCGGAGGTGGGAGAAACAGCTATGTTGGTCAAGTTTCCGATGTGTAAGCATGTGGACTTGAGTTTGAATCCCCAGTACACAGGAAACCATCAGGCACGAGCAGCACTGGAGAGGGTGGGGTGGAGGCAAGCAGATCCCTGGGGCTTGCTGGTCAGTCAAGGTAGCTGAAATGATGAGCTTCAGGTGCAGGGAGAGACCCTGCTTCAAAAAATAAGATGGAGGCCACGGTGGTGGTACACGCCTTTAATTCCAGCACTCAGTGGGCAGAGGCAGGTGCATCTCTTAGTTCAAGGCCAGCCTGGTCTACAGAGTAAGTTCCAGGACAACCAGGGCTGTAAAGAGAAACCCTGTCTTCAAAACAAAACAAAAACCTAAACAACGACAAAAAGATGGAGCGTGATCGTGGAAGATACCCTTTAAGTCATCTTTTTCTTTTATTTACATTTATTTTTTTGGCAATTTTATTTTACTTATGTGTATGGGTATTTTGTCTGAGAATCAAACCCAGGTGCTCTGGAAGAGGAGCCAGTGCCCTCAACCACCAAGCTGTCTCCTCAGGCCCCCTTCGTTCATATTGTTTTTACCTAAACCTCATCTTCCTGGGGCTTATTAGGAATGGGACAAACATGGTGTTTACCCTCAGAGCCACAACTGTGACACGAAGACCAACAAATCCGAGTGTTTCTCTTCCCTTTTGTCACTTGGCTGCATGAAAAGAGTGGCAGTGGGGGGAGGAGAGAGGAAAGGAGCCAGGTCTGAGTTGGGTTGGGCAAAGAACACCCCGGCCTGACACACAGCCCTAAAGGGACACACATCCTGCAGTGGGCCTACGATGAAACCTGCTTACTAGCTGGAGCAAACAAGGCATTCGCTGCCTTTAGCACAGCTCTATCGGTCAGCAGGCACTCGTGTACAGAGTCCCCAAAACACAATGACATCCATCCCGGCTTGTCCAAGATTTCTGTCTCCTTTTCAAAGAGTTTTCACATTTCCCTTTTATATGAAGCTTTTTTTTTTTTTTTAAGATTTCCATCACATGAATTTTTTTAGATATATTTATTATTATGTTTACAATGTTCTGTGTGCATGTACAGAAGAGGGCACCAGATCTCACTATAGATGGTTGTGTACCACCATGTGGTTGCTGGGAATTGAACTCAGGACCTCTGGAAGAGCAGCCAGTGCTCTTAACCTGTGAGCCATCTCTCTAGCCCCATGTTTCCCTTTTAAATTTTTGTATTTATATTTATCCATTTGAGACAGGGCTCACTACGTAACTCTATCTGGCCTACTCATGGAGACCAGGGTAGCCTTGATTTCACAGAGATCCGCTTGCCTATGCCTTCCAAGTTCTGGGATTAAAAGCATTTGCTATCACATCCAGCCTCCGTTTCCTTTTTATAAGTGGGCTTCTCATATCTCCAAGTCTTCATGCCACCTAAAGAAGGTTGCAAAGAATAAAGCTGCTCTCGTGGGAGCCAGAGCAGAAAAAGTTTTCTTGATGGAGTATGAGCACAGTTCCCAGAGCTGCTTTAAGTGATGGGACTTCTCCAAAATCATAAATGTCCTGTGTGTGTGTGTGTGTGTGTGTGTGTGTGTGTGTGTGTGTGTGTGCGCGCGCGCGCAGCTGGGGGTGTTTCTGGAGGAAGCAGAGAGGGTATGGGCTCAGGCAAAAACCAGGGTGGGGCCTGCAAGGAACGGAACTCAGTCATTGAGGTTTCTGGGAGAGCCCAGGCCACAAGATCCACTGATAAGGTGTATGGAGGGAGCCACTGGACACAAGTGCCAGACCTGAGAACTCATACTTCTTCCACACTGAGGTAGGTTCAGCCTGCAGCCTTGGGATCGGGGTGCTGGGATGGAAGGGAGGGGGGCTCTGCTGCCCTGTAGTGTAATTCATTTCTTTCCATCTCTGTAGCTGACAGACTTTGTCCCTGTGCTGCTGAGTAAGTATTCCCTGAACCGCTTAGTTGCTCATTCAGTTCTCATCCTTAACGGATCACCACGAGAGGCCAGGGCAGGTACAGCATCTACTGAGGAAGGAGGGCAGTCCTTACTTGAATGATGACAGAATAGGGGTTGGGGCACGGAAGTGCGTGCTTTAGTAGTTTCCGGTGGCTGGCTGGAATCAGAGGATGGTAGGTAGAGTGGAGAAGTCGGTGTCTGGGACACTTGCGGCCCTTGAAGAGGTCAGGGAAGGCTGTAGGTAGCCAGTGACATGATGTGGCCTGCAAAATGCTAACGACCCTTTCACTGTGTGAAAAGAAGCACCACGGGTCCACTTTCTCTGAGAAAAATCCCTAGAAGCAGCGAGGAAGCCCCTGGGTTGGCCCTCTGGGGACATTAAACAGGGGGAGAGGGCCAGGGACAAAGACAGCCTGGACGAAGCTGAGTGGGTGCCCAGGCTTCGGCTAGCCCAGCCTACGGAAGGGTCCGTGGAGACTGGGCTAGTAGGGCTGTAGCTCCCCCTGGTGGCCGTACTGAGCGGCTTTCCTATCCACGAAGTGGCTGTGTCGAACCCGGTGACCTCAAACCCCTTCTTCTCACCAGACCCCTTTCTTTGCGTGGTTTGAACTGAGGGTCGGGATTATATTGTCGCTTTCTGCCTTCTGTCCCTCTCAGGCTTCCACGACCCTCATCCGTACCCGCTTGCCCCGCCCTGAAGAAGATGCCGCTCGTGAGCCTTGAAAGGCACTGGGTTAACCCAGTGCTTTCAATGTTCCTGATGGTGCTGCTGCTGGTAGGGCCTTCACAACCTCTACCACGGGCCCAGACCAAACCAGGCATCCCTGGTGCTTCCACTGCACCGAGCACCCCCAGAGCCTTCAGCAAGCCCGCCACCTCCAGCATCCCAACCGCACCAAACACTTTCAGCACACCAACCGCTCCTGGCAACCCCAGTTTCCCAGAGATGCGAGATCGAGTGAGAGCCCTGATGCAAGACTTCCCGCTAATAGATGGGTGCGTGAGGATGGCTTGGGGACTGGTCAGAATGGGGCTGGGTGGAGCACTTTCCTGGGCTGCTGAGGGTTCGGAGCCTGCGGGACTACTACGCCCCCCTAGATACCGTCTCCTATCATTAGTGGGTGACTCTTCTCTATCACTTCTATGGTAGGGACCCCCAGCCCAGCCCAGGCTTTAGGGCATCTCAATTACGGTCTGGGTTATAGGTAGGGAATAGAATTATGCTGTCAGAATTATGTTCTGCTAGATCTGGAAGCCAAAGAGGCACAGCTCTATGTCCCCTTGTCCTTTGAGAGGGGTTGAGGAAGGGAAAAAGAGAGGAGGAGGGAGGGAGAGAGAAAGAGAAAGGGGGGCTCGTGTGTGCCCACATTACCCAGGAACTCACTAAGTAGCTTGGACTAGGCTGGAAGTTTAAATGAATCTCCAGCCTTAGCCTTCTGAGTGCTGGGATTACATGCAGAAATACTCAACCAGCTTTGTTTGACCCAATCTCTTCTTGACTCTCCTGCAGCCACAATGACCTGCCTCTTGTCCTGAGGCAATTTTACCAGAATGGGCTAGAGGATGCTAACCTGAGAAACTTCACCTACGGCCAGACCAGCCTGAATAGGCTTAGAGATGGCTTTGTGGGAGCCCAGGTAACACACACACACACACACACACACACACACACACACACACACCAGCATGGCTTCTGGGGAAGGCTGGGGAAGTCAGGGCCCCAGAAAAAATAAGTTAGTCAGATGGGAAACTCAGTCACCATAGTGACAAAAAAAAAAAAAAAAGCCATGATGTTGTGGCTAGAGAGGTCATTAAGAACAAGCAGTGCATTCATTACATGTGCCCTGTGAACCCACAAGTCTGTCGGTGATGGCCCAGGTAGCTCTCCGACACAAGCCAACCCCTGACTTTGCCTCCAGTTCTGGTCGGCTTACGTACCGTGCCAGACCCAGGACCGAGATGCCCTGCGCCTCACACTGGAGCAGATTGACCTCATTCGCAGTATGTGTGCCTCTTATCCTGAGCTGGAACTTGTGACCTCAGTCAAAGGTAAGTGGACTTTTTCAGGGTCTGGGGGACTAGGTGAGGCTACGATAGCGCCTGAGAATAATCACGTGACCTACGCCTACAGCTCTGAACAGCACCCAGAAATTGGCCTGCCTCATCGGCGTGGAGGGTGGCCACTCCCTCGATAACAGCCTCGCCGTGCTTCGAAGTTTCTACCTGCTCGGGGTGCGCTACCTGACGCTCACACACACGTGCAACACAGCCTGGTGAGCCCCGAGCGGACAGATGTGTGAGCCCACCGAGGCAGAAATCTGTCCTCGTGGACAGAGACCAAGATTTACCCTTCTCATCTGGGACTCACTGGGATTCCTCCTTTTGCCAGGCACAGTCCAACCTGGGTCTTTGAATTAGCTCTGTGGGATTGCAGGGATAGAGCGTTTGGAGGGCGTGCCTACCAATCAGATTGCCTCCCGCCTGTCCTGCAGGGCAGAGAGCTCTCGGAAGGACACCCACTCATTCTACAGCAGTGTCAAAGGACTGACCGGCTTTGGTGAGGTAAGCACATGCCCTTTTCTGAATAATAAAGGCGTGCGGGCGCGTGTGCCTCTGAGCCCCTCCTCCAAACCGCTCTCGCAGAAGGTGGTGGCGGAAATGAATCGCTTGGGTATGATGGTCGATTTGTCTCACGTGTCGGATGCTGCCGCAGTGCGGGCCTTGGAAGTGTCCCAGGCACCTGTGATCTTCTCCCACTCGGCTGCCAGGGCAGTGTGCAGAAACGTTCGGAACGTTCCGGATGACATCCTGCAGCTTCTGGTGAGAAACTTTCTAGCCCCAGAACTCCTGTCCCCTCCCATTTCCTCACCCCCCAGGACTGAGTACTCTCTGCCCTACAAAACCATACTCCATGCCCTCTAAATGCTTGAACCTGGGGTGGGGGAGTTGCTGCAGATAAATAACCCTGTAACCCTCAAATTCAGGATCAAGACATCACCAAAATCAAGGTCAAGCTTCTTCCTTAACACAAAGCCAAGGAGGTGAAATCTCCTTCGGCCCCCAAAGTTTTCTCACGGGGGTTAGGTAGGCCCCTGATTCTGCTGGGAGCCAACCTGAGTGTCCCTTTGACCATCCCTGCAGAAGAAGAATGGTGGTGTTGTGATGGTGACCTTCTCTGTCGGGGTGTTGCAGTGTAACCCATTAGCCAATGTCTCAACCGTGGCAGGTGAGCCCCACAAAACCTACCTCCGTATAGATCTTTGTTCTCTTTCCTTCCTTCCTTTTTTTTAAGCCTCAAAGAGTTTTATTGGCATTTAAGAGAACAGTATAATAGGAAAAGCAACTTGAAGCATCAGCATCTTTAGGGAGGGGGAAGGCAAGAGACAGTTGAGGGGGGGATATGGGAAGAGGGAAAAGAAAGGAAAAAGTTACACTTTCTGAGGTAAATCCTAAAAGGGTCCATGCTTAGCAATAAAGATTTGGAAACAGTTCCCCTCCTAGGCTTTCTAAACAGCACTGTTTGACCTGAAGGCTTGGGAGTGTCAGCACAGCCTTAACAGTTTCGCCAAAAATGCCACGATGGGAGCCTCCTAGGAAGGCTTGGATTTGATCCCCCAGCTGATAATACAGCATGAGTGCGAGTTCCAGGATGCCCATGGTTATGCAGAGAAACCCTGTCTCCAAAACAAAACCAAAACCAAAACCAAAAAACAACCAGTCCCATGAAGGGCAATACACACAGAACCTTATACTACCTTGAACCAGAGTCAAAAAATCCAAATTGACTTGTTAGAGAGGTTGGGGGTCAGTTATAGAGCAGTGTGCCGACCTGTCTGTTGTGGGTTACAAAAAGCACCCTATTCCTATCCCTGCCTCAGTCCTTGCCAACTATACTCTTATCCAAAGGAGGCCCTGTCAGGTTTCCCAGATGACAATCTCATATGAATTAGGTTGGATATGACCTAAATCCGTGGTTCTCCAAATGTTTTCACTCCAACCGGAAGTCTAGTCTAGAGCTTGCCTGCGTTGGTTCAGGTATTTGAAGTGCCAGCTACAAGAAGAGGAACCTGGGCCATGGAAGCCATCTGCTAGTGATTCACCAAAATGACAAGCACGAAGGGAAAGAGGGAGAGGCGGCCTCTGTAATTTCTCCAGGCCTTTGTTTGGCTTGTTTTTATTTTTTTATGAATTAATTCTATGTGTGTGAGTATTTTACCTGCATGTATGTCTGTACACTCCATACATGCCTGCTACCTGCAGAGGCTAGAAGAGGGCATCAGATCCCCTGGAACTGGAAACATGGATAACCACGAGAATGCTGGAAATCAAACCTGATTCAGGTTCTCTGGAAGAGCGGACCATATTATAGCCACTGAGCCATCTATCCAGCTCTGTCTGGGCCTTTTGAGGAATATACGGTTGTTACTTTGGCCAGATAGATAGATAGATAGATATAGATATATAGATATATAGATATATATCTGTAAGAGGGGGTGATCTTATAGACATCAAGCAGACAGGCACTGTTCAAAAGGAATGCCTCCTAAATGTTACCCTGGTGAAACTGTCTGCTATATCACTCAGCATGCTGATGGCATCTTTGTAAACAGGCAAGTTAAGGGCAAGATTTTTTTTTTTACAAGAAAATGTTTGAATTGGGCATATTAAGCACTCTAAGAGCCATGATGGCTTCCTGAAAAAGAAGAAAAACAAAAGAGGAAAAGAAAAGAAAGGAAAGCCAGAGAGAAAGCTGTAGCACCAGACCACTGCACTGGGAGATACACACTGTATATGAGCAATCGGGGAGGAGCCCAGCTGCTGGAGCCCATTCTCTGTGAATTCATGGCTTAATGTACAAAAAGAGATAAAAACCCCAGACTGTAAACAAAGGAGGAGGAGGACCAGACGAGCCTAGTTCCTAGGCCACCTTTTCCCTGAAAGCCCCTCACTGCCAACTGTTTATCTCCCCAGATCACTTTGACCACATCAAGGCAGTCATTGGATCTGAGTTCATCGGGATTGGTGGAGATTATGACGGCACCAAGCAGTGAGTGTTTACTTCTCTGTGACTTGTCTGAAGCTGCTCTCACCACATCAGGGTCCTCAGGGCTTTGTTCATTTGACATCTCTCCATCCCCGGAGTCTCTCTTCTGTGCTCCCACTAAGGCTACTCTGAGAAAGCTCATCTATCCAGCACACACATCCACTCCCAGCCCCCGAAGATCCATTCCCCCTGAGCTATCAGCAAGGTCTAGTGTGGACTATCTTCTCTTCGAGTTCTTTTTTGTTGTTATTGTTGTTTGGGTTTTTTGTTGTTTCTATTTCTTGTTTGTTTGTTTGGTTGGTTGGTTGGTTTTTGGAGACAAGGTTTCTCTGTGCAGCCCTGGCTGTCTTGGAACTCACTCTTAGTCCAGGCTGGCCCTCTGCCTCCCAAGTGCTGGGATTAAAGGTATGCACCACTGAGCTGAGGTTTTTGAGTTGGGATTCTGGTGACCGCACAGGTTCCCTCAGGGGCTGGAGGATGTGTCTACATACCCAGTGCTCATAGAGGAGCTGCTGAGACGGGGCTGGAGTGAACAGGAGCTGCAAGGTGTCCTTCGAGGGAACCTGCTGAGGGTCCTCAGACAAGTGGAACAGGTATGCTGAGATGGGTAAGAGACTGGGTTAAGGGGCCCCAACAGGTGCTCACATACCAGAATGGGCTACAGGAGACCCGGAAGAGCTGCTGACCGCCAACTGTCACCTCCAGGTACGGGAGGAAAACAGATGGCAGCGTCCTCTAGAGGACGTGATTCCGGAGGAGCAGCTGGAGAGTGCTTGTCGCTCAGCCTTGCCACATCGACGTCAGAAACAGTATCCAGAAAAGACCCCACCAGAGACCCCAACACGCCATACATTGAAGTGGTCACACTCAAAGTCCTCTCCCCGCATGGTCCCAAGCCTCACCGTGGTTGCAGCCATTTTAGGCCTTATTGTATGACATTTAGAGGATGCCCCGTCCTCCCAGGTATCATTCTGGTACCCTCGAACCCCTTCCACCTGTGCAGGGGCACATGTTTCCTGGAAGTAAATGTTTAGACACAGAAACGGGTGTGAGTGTCCCTCTCTGCAACAGAGTAGGTTAACACGGGCTCATGCGCTGGTGGTCTGTGGAACTTGGCATTTCAACCACCATTTGCTCAAGGAAGTTGACAGTGACCTACACAACCTGGCTGGGCTCAGCAAAAATGAAGCCAATGGAGTGGTCTGGCTTCAGGAAAGGGGTCTGAAATTTTGGGGTCCTTCTTAGTGTTTCATCTCCATCCACAGACTGAACCACGGACACTCACCTTACCGTTTCTCAGAGAATGCCTTAGATGCCTAACTAGGCGACCTGACTGGATCATGAGTAACCTTCATTCTTTTTGGACTAGGCCCAGAATGTTACGACACAGAATGGGTGGTGGACCCCCAATGGTTAAACTGCCTTGGATGTGGTGACCTCTCAGCCACCAGGAAATTCTTCTCTACCAGGTACAAACTACTTAAGCATCCATTCCATCCCAGGGCCTAGTCCCAGGCCCTGAGAGGAAATTAATAGCAACTTCAATAATGATAGATACTATGAAGAGCCAATACTGGACTGCTGTTGTAACTCAAAAGAGTGCTTGCATACAGGAAGTCCTGGATTTGATCCCCGACACTGCATAAAGCCAGTCTTGGAGATGCGTGTCTGTGACTCTCACACTTGAGAGGTAGAGGCAGGAGGAGAAGCAATTTCAGCATCGGCCTGAGCTCTGTAACCAGGCTATGCTACACGGAGACCGCTCAAAAGAAAAAAAATAATAAGGGCTGGGGAGATAGCTCAGTTGTAAAGTACTTATCATACAGGCAAGCATGAGGACCTGAGTTCAATCTCCTAAAGTTTGAAAAGCCCAGGAGCTGGAGATGGCTCAGTGGTTAGGAGCACTGGCTGCATCTTTAATCCCAGGACTTGGAAGGCAAACACGGGTGGGTCTCTATGAGTTCTAAGGCCAACCTGGCCTACAGAGTGAGTCCTGAAACACCACACACACATACAAACACCCCAAAAGAAAAAAAGAAAAGAAAAATAAAAGAAAGCTGGTGTAATCCCAGTACTTGGTATACTAAGGTAGGAAGATTGACAAGAGTTCAAGGCCAACCTGGACAACATAGTGAATTCCAGGCCAACTTAGCTACAATGTGAGATCTTGGAGTGGGGGTGTCAGCCAGTATTGTAAAATATAACAAATTCTGATTTGTATTTAAATGAAATATATAAAAACAATGTGGTGTGTTTGGAGGGTACATGTGCGGGTGTGTCTATGTGGAGGTGAGAGGTCAACCTCAGATATTTTTCAGGAGCCAACCACCTTTTTTTGTGAGACAGGATCTCCAAAGGCCTGGAACTCACCAAGTAGGCTAGACTGAGTGACCAGGGAGCCTCAGGGATCCATCTGTGTCCAGCTCTGCAGAACCAGAACGACCAGCTCAAACACTACTCCATGTTTCGTTCTGTCCTGTTTTGTTTCGCTAAGGGTTCTAGAGGCTGAATTCAGATCCTCACGCTTGCACCTCCAGCACCTTACCAACTGAGCTGCCTTCTTGGCCCAAAGAGTGTGAATTTCAACGCACTCTTTTAGTTTTTGTACTAGGTATCAACAATTTAATTATTTTGGAAATGTTCATAGTTTAAAAATGCATTAGGGGCTGGAGAAATGGCTCAGAGATTAAGAGCACTCGCTGCTCTTCCAGAGGTCCTGAGTTCAATTCCCAGCAACCACATGGTGGCTCATAACCATCGACAATGTGATCTGGTGCCCTCCTCTGGTGTGCAGGTGTACATGCAGACAGAACATGGTATACATAATAAATAAATAAATCTTTTTAAAAAAATTAAAAATGCATTAAAGGGGCTGATCAGAAGGTCTGAGTGGGTAAAAGTGACTAATGCATAATCTTCACTTGAGTTCCATCCTTGGAATCCGCTGAAAAATCTGGGTTAACTCCCATCTATAACCGCAGCACTCCTACGCCAAGATAGGAGGTAGAGATAGGAGAATCACGAGGCTGCAATCTCAAGAATGCAACGTAGCAGCAGAAATAACATGCACAAGGGCTAGAGAGATGGTTCAGAGGTTAAGAGCACAAACTGTTCTTGCAGAAGGCTCAGGATTGGTTCCCAGCACCCATAGAGCGGCTCACAACGGTTACTTCAGCTCCAGGGGGTCCGGTATTCTTTTCTGGTCTTCTGGCAGGCGCTGCATACACGTGGTAGACATACACACACAGCAAACACTCGTAAACAAAAGGGAAAGAAATAACAGACACAAAAGAACTCTACCTCCTGTTTTCCCTCTCCCTCTTACTGCCCTAACTTTCTGCATCTCCTGGAAGGCCCCCAGATCGAGACTTCCACGTCACAGGATCTCCGCAGTCAGGGGTGCGAGAGAAAAGGATTTCCTTCACAAGTATAGCTAAACTGCTGGCCCCAGGCCAGGCTTGGAGCTCGGAGCTCCAACTGAGCCAAGCCAAATGTTCAGTCTACATTGGTGGTCAGTAGAGGGGGTTGCTGAAGAGGGCTCAGCCTCCTGAGGCAGCTTCCAGCCTGTACTCTCTGCGGTGATGCTCAAGTAGCATGCTTCTGGGGAGCCACCCATTTGCCTCCATGCTTCACTTTCAGGCGAGGAATTTTTGCACTGGGGCACCCTAGGTCTTGGTCTGACTCTTCTTGAACTCGCTGTCTCTTGGGAGCTCGCCTGGGTGCGGGCTTCTCTTCCTCAGCCTTTGCAGGGGAGGCCAGCGGAGCATCCCC